CTCATGCTAACTAAAGTAGAAATATGGTTCAAAAATCAAAAGAATTCTTATCAATTTTCCTATTGTTCGTTCATCGTAAATCATTAACGAATCTTTTTGAGATTCCCCTAAAAGGTTTTCTTCAAAATCAGTACAAAAAGGGTTTATCATTGAATAAATATAATAATAATAAATTTGGTTGTGATGTGAATATATATTTACATATGTGTGTGTGTGTGTGTACACATACCCGAATTTTTATTAAAAAAAAAAATAGAATAGAAATAGAATAAAATAGAATAAAATAAAAATATATTTCAATAAAAACAATTTCGGATATTAATCAATTATTATGGGCTAAAATTTTTTTTTTTTATTATTCTATATCCAAATATATAATTTTAATGAGGTTTGTAATATAGAATCGATTTTTGTCTTCATAAAAAGGTGTAAAAATAAATTTTATTACAAGTAAAAAAAAAAAAAAATTTGAGTTTTTATAAAACTAAATTTATATTTTAAATAATGATATATATGTACTGATATGTAAATGTAATACTTAACTACTGTATTTGTAATTTATGTAAATTATATATATATATATACACATATATTATCATTATTTCATTATATAGTTGAACTGCAATGATACTGCATTATGCCAACTATACTATAATTATATTATGCGATTATATGCATCATTGTAAATATTTATTTATATGTTGTACTATAAAAAAAATATCATATATAAAATATACTGTAATTTAAAATAAGCGGTATATTTAATTGATTTTAATGACATTCTTTTTGACAGTTTACATTATGCAAAAATACTGCCCAAAATTAATATTAGATTATGACATGCATATCGAAAGTATTACAAACATTTTTTTTATCGGGTTTTTTTTTTATTTTACAAATATATATATTAATATATTATTTGATAATAAATGAATATATATATATATATATATTATTTTATATTATTTATAGTAAATGCAATTATTACTTTGATATTAGTGGTTAATATATTTCAAATAATATTTCAAAGNACAAATATATATATTAATATATTATTTGATAATAAATGAATATATATATATATATATATTATTTTATATTATTTATAGTAAATGCAATTATTACTTTGATATTAGTGGTTAATATATTTCAAATAATATTTCAAAGGAAAAAAGTTTTTTATCAAAAAAAAAAAAATTTTTTTTTTTTTTTTTTAAACGAATTATAAAAATGAATAAATCAAAAATTGCATTAAAAAAATGTGTCAAAATAAAATTGATTTTTGATTAACCATTTTATTACGCCTTTATATTTTCTATCTCGTGAAAGTAAAATGTATTTTTATCTTTTAAATTCAGGATATGCATCAATTGATTAGAATTAATTTCCTTGTAAAGAACTTTTAAATCTGATAACGCAATAAGACCGCCGACATCAAAAAACACGTTTTATTGCATTTGAAATGTACATGTTATTCTTCTTCAAGCATAGAACAATGAAATAAATGGTCTAAATATTCTAAATTCGAGTTCATTGATTTTGTAGTGAAGTTTTGATTTTCCAAGCATGACATGAGAACATACATTTTTTTATTATTATGAGTAATAATTATTCAATACATTACGAATACATTGTGAGTACATTGCGAATACATTGCGAATACATTTCGATAAAAAAATTTGTACTAAAAAATTTGTGCTAAAACATACGAATCAAAACTTAAAAAAAAAAAACAATTTTAATTTTTTTTATATAGAGTGTTGCCGTGGCGGGATGAAAGTAAAGTAAAAGCGGGTTATTGACTTGTTCGGTTTGGTAATACAACATTCGATTGACGGATATATTCCGAATTTATTAATCTCAATATTATCATTTAATTCAAAGGAAAAAGGTTTATAAGAGATAAATGATTAGTCATAGGATGAAACTTTTTTGTATATTCATCCGCCAATAGATAAATAAATAAATAAATCAATAAATAAATATTTATATATAAATCAACTCCTTTCCTCAGCCATAACCCTTTCACCTTTTCTTATTTTTTTTTCTCATTTTTTTTCTGCGTTCTCTGCGCCATTTCTTCTTTTCTTTTCAAAAAGTCTTCTATTACCCGTTTTTTTAGGGTTGAAAAATATACGCGTTAATAATATAAGAATCATATAAAAACCATATAAATATTATAAAGTTCATCGGAACTTGATAAATAAAAAAAAGTTCTGACCCGTTTAAAATATAAATTTTATTGAACGGAAAGTTTCGTCCCAAACGAAACGAAACGAAAATAAATCATCGTATAAATTTCCATCCAATCATAAATCACTATAAAATTGTTGAATCGTGTACAGTAAATCCATGCACTTAAATCATAAACATCATATTAAACGATACATAAAATCTATAAATTCATAAATGATATAAATGATAAATTCCATAAAATCTATAAACTATAAAATTTATAAATTCATAAAAAAACCTTATAAATTGTAAAAATCCATAAATTCAATAAATTCGATTGTTTTGACGCGTCATATTCTTTCAAGTATATTTTTTTTTTTTGGAAGCACATTTCAGCACATTTCAGCACATTTCAGCACATTTGAGTACATTAAACACATTTGGCACATTTCATCACATTTGACCACATTTAAACACATTTGAGCACAATCCCATTTCTTTTTTTTTAAAAAAAAACCACAAATCGTATACGATCCTTTCTGGAAGAAGAAAAAACTTTTTTTTTATAATTAAAATATATTATACTTTTGATTTTACTAAAAATAATAAATAATGATACACGTTAATTAAGGTAATTAATTTTTTTTTTAATAATAATTAGATATACTTTTAATAATAAAAAAATATGATGATATAATACTTTTTTTTTTTTTTTTTTAGACAGTTTTTCGGATTTCTTAAGATATTGGATTTTGGTAAGTATATGTTTTCACTTTTCAAAATTTTTTTCGCCTTTTAACAAATGGTTTCTAACTGTTCATTTTATGTTTTTTAAGGCGTTCTCTCAAATCTTTGGATATGAAATTTTGGTAAGTAATTTTAATTTTTTTTCTTAATAATTTTATTTTAACAACTTATTAACAGTTTATTCTTTGGTTTTTCTCTTTTAGGTTTTGCTGATTCTTTCTGGAAATAGAGGTGGCTATTAAAGATCAATGGAGTGCCAAAAAAGTTAAGTGTAAAGACGTATCAAGAAAGTTGGCTGATAATCATCCATTTTATCGAAATCTCTATAGAGCTTATGCAGATTATTTAAATTAAAGTGCAGCAATATTGAACAAAACATAGAATTTTATAGTTCAATTTCATACATGGTTATTAAAGACAATCAAGAACCTGTACGATTAAAACTTCATATTGGCGATATTGTAGATCTAAATGAAGAATTTAAAGGTGTCGCATATGCTATAAAGCAAACAATGGTCAAATTTTACACTATTTTTTATTTAATTTCAGGTGACGAACTATGTTGATTTTATATCAAGATGTCCACTTTATAATATTCAGAAGCTGGAAGAATCACGTTAGTTTTGAATCTTTCCAATCAATTTTATTGATCACGTCTCAAATTCACTTTATTCACGAATATAAAAGTACATNTTTTTTTTTTAAAAAAAATAATCATCAAAAAAAAAGATCACGAAAAAAAAAGTCCTTCCAAAGACACGATGGAATTTTGATTGAAAATGTACAAAAAATGCAAGTGTTTTTTTTTTTTTGGATTGTAAAAAATGCTTTGATAAATGATGATTATGAAAAAGGATGTCACAAAAAAAATCATTGCTTCTTCATGTTCTATAACGGGAAAAGAAAACAAAAATGCAAAAAAAAAAATGCAGAAAATATACTTGTGAAAAATGAATTTTGTCCCACTAAACATCCATAAAATGAATTTCACTACGAACATAAATGATAATGATAATGATGATAAAAAAACTAAAAAAAAAACCCAAAACATATTGAAAAGAAAAAAAAAAATATTATATATAATAATAATACACGGACAACACGTTGTTTTTCACACAAAATGAATCCTGATAACATACTAATAACACCAACTTCATAAGAAAAAAAAAATGTCTTTTGTAAATTATATCGTAAATTTTTTGTTGATAATAAGCGTCGGACATATGTCGCGTATGCAATATTTTTGATTCTTGCGTCGGTTGAATCCAAATTGATCGAACAGAGGATGTTATAAAGGATTGTCGGAGTTTTGATGATATTGCGTAAATTTTCTAAATTCGTATTATAAAAGACTTGTTGATGTAAAACGTCTGTCATGCTTATTGATCTGCGATTGACATTAAATAAAAGAACATATAAATATTAATAAATCAGATTATATTAATTAATACTTTATTTCAGATACAAAGAAAAAAATATATATTATTAAATTAAAAAAACCCCCTCTCCCTAAAAAAAAATTAATTACTAACCAAATTATAGATATAAAATATAAAAAAATAGAATAGAAATTGTTTCGCAAAAATTATTTGCGTACCATGTTTCTGATTAAACTTGTCGCAAAAGGAAAATTTGTACGCAAGTAGAATTAGCCGCGCTTTTTAAGGTATTGAATTACGATGGTGTTGGCGTTTTGTATGCAGGATGAAATCCAAACAATAGAGAACCGTAGACGGTATCAAAAGGGGGTTTGACTGCGGTTAGCTCAAATTGTCGATTGCATGAAAACTGGCCGTGTTGTCGTGTGATGAATTAGAAATTAAAGAATAGAAGAATAAATGCCTATGATTGTCAATGCTTGATGGATGAAATGAATGCTGTAATGTTCGTAGGAAATGTTGAAATTGAGAAAGATGAATAAATAAAAAAAAGAAATATAAAATCACTACACACAAAATTGTGAACAATAACAACTATATATTGAACATTTTCATTCCTAAAAAAAATTTTTGTTACCTAAACATATACTAATCTAATTAAAAGCATAATTTTTTTTGTAATCCCTTATCTAATCAAAATTCTACATAAGAGGAATTTTTGAAGTTTTTTTAAGAAAAATGATGTTGACAAGGGGGAATAAACAAACATAAAAAGAATTGAGACTTAAAAATGCATTGACATAAATAAAAAAATGTAAAGTGGGAAAAACGTTGATCAAATTTGATCAAATTTAATATAAGATGAAGCAAGTATTGGAGAAAAAGCGAAATAAACGGGTGTTCATAAGAAAATTTAGGGTAAGAGGGTTGAAAAGATTTAAGTTAACTTAATTTTTTTTTGTTTTTTTTTTTTTTGTTTGTTGTGTTGAAAATAAAAAATATAATAATCAAATTGATTTTCCATAAATCAAACGAAATGGGTTAGTCGGTAAATCGGTTAAAAAAAATAAACGAGAATAAAGTTGAAATACAAAAATCGGTAGTCAGTAAAATCGGTTATCAAAAATCGGTTGTCAAAAATTGAGTTGTAAACGGTGGTTTTTAAGAGGTTAAATCAAAGTTAAAAATCGATTAATTGAGACTGCCAGTGATGAATGGGTGCTAAAATAAAATTTTAAATGTTAATAAATCTAAAAAAAAAATGAAAATATATATATATATATATATTTAATTGATTTTCTAAATACCTCTAACAATTTCTCGGCGTCCCATCTATTTTCAGGAGTTTTAATGAAACATTTTTCTAAGAAGTCAACGGCTTCCCATCCAATATCTGCTTTCTTTCGAAGGCGTTGAAAACCATATGGCATTTCACCTCTGCGCAATTTATCCATAATTTCATCATCACGGAATCTGCCCCAAGCAGCCTTTCCAGTCAAAAGTTCTAAGATACAGACACCTACAGACCAGATGTCAACTTTTGTATCATAAGGTCGATCAGGTCCAACAAGAACAACATCAGGGGCCATATATGGGATTGTTCCGACCATTGCAGTAGTAGAGGTTGGAGTCAAAGATGAAATACCGAAATCAGCTACAAAAAAAAAAAAAATTATTCCAATTAATAAAAGTTATTTTGGAGAAATTTTGATAACATATGAAACATACCCAATTTAATTTCATTATTTGCAGTAGACAAGATATTGGAAAGTTTAATATCGCGATGGATGACACCGTTAGAATGTAAATGTTTCAAAGCGCCCAAAAGCTATATATATAAAATAAATTGTTAAATATCATTTAAATTCATTGAATGAAAAATGGGTAATTATTTTTTACTTACATCTCGAGCAATACGTCCAGCTTCACGTTGATTAACTTTACCGGCGCGACTAGTTACATCACCACGAGCACATTTTTCCATAGCGATCCAGACTTCACGTGTTTTACCATCCCAGCGTAAGAAACTTTCTTTGAAATCAACGATGTTTTTATGTTTGAGATTCTTAAGAACATAAATTTCATTAAAGATGAATTCCAAAGAGTATGAGAGTGGGACGACTTTGATGGCACATTCTTCACTGGGATTTGACAATGGGTGAGCAGTAAAAACCTTTGCAGATGAACCTTCATCAATAACTTTTTTGATATCATAAGATTTGAGTGGGTTTTCCATAACACTGTTTTCCGAAATCAAACGAAGATAATGTTGTAAAGTGGCAAAAGGATCTTTATTAACCGGAGGTGGAGGTGGAGGTGGGATAGCAGTGGAACATTTATCGGATGAATTGTCAATAGGTTGAGTTGCACAAGCGTTTCGACTTGATTCGGAAGCAGGTGTTGAGGCACGGGATGATGAATGATAAGCGGGTGAAGCTGCACGAGCGGTTGAAGCGTTTGAACTAGGGGTTGATGCACGTGAGGATGAAGCCGGTGAAATAGGACGGATTGAAACAGTTGGTGGAGATTTAGACCGAGGGTTGAATTGTTTAGAGACCAAATTTGGGGGTGATCGTTTAGAATTAACAGATGAACCAGTAGTAGTAGAGGCAGAAACAGATGTTGAGTCAATATCATATTTGGAGTTTTTAACCGAATTAGAAGTACCGTTATTTGTTGTTGAGTTGAGAGAGTTGTTATATTTATTGTTGTTGGGTTGTTGACAGTTAAGAGAGTTATTATAATGATGATCAGCATGTTGTGAAGTTGAGACCGAAGTTGGATAATTATCGTTTAAGCCATTTTTATCAAATTTAGAGTTATCGAGTTTTGTGTTTGGTTTATTTGAAGAAGAATCAGCAGAGGATTGACCGTATAAATCGTTATTTGAACCAAAAGATGATGGAGATGTGACCGATGAAGGATAAGAACCATTTTGAGAGGATAAAACCGAAAGAGTAGAATCGTCAGATGAATCAGATTTGATAGAAGACATTGAATCACGATGGGGATAACCATAATCTTGATGAATACGTTTTTGATTTTGGGTTGAAGATTTATTATTATTACCAGAGAGTTGTTGAGATAAAGATGAAGTGTAGACTGATTGAACGTTGTTAACAATTTTTTTGTATTGATCTAATTTATTATTAAAATATAAATATTGTTAGAATCAAAAGAATCAAAAGTATTTTCAATACAAAAATAATAGTGTTAAAATTACCATTTTTAGCCATAAAATTTTGAGAAGAATTTTTTATAGGAGAAGACGGATTAAAAGGTGCCCGATTTTTTTGACGAGCCATTTGTTGAACTTCATCAAATTCGAACTCATCATCGTCGTCATCTTCGTCTTCTTCCTCAACAATAGAATCCAAATCGTGTTTAGATGAAGCATGAGTTGACCATTTATCAAAGGATTCCTCATCATCATCTTCTTCTTCAACTTCGGTATTAACACCGCTAGGGCTTACGGAAGAAGCATCATCATCTTCACTTTCAGATTCGGTTCTATCATCAGATTCAGAATCTGCTTGATCATCAGAATTATTATCATCAGTTTCAAATTTGAATTCATCGGCATCACTATCTTCAGATTCTTCCATGACAACATTTAAGGCAGCAGCTTGTTTTCTATCTAAAGCAGAAGCGTAACGATCACGAGTCATTTCAGCATGCCTATCCAACATTTCAGTTCTATTAAATCCACCATTAATATTTTCATCACGATTCATAGCAGCAGGAGATGGTGCAGTAGGTCTTGGTGGATGAGGATCATTATTACTAACAAGATTTTTTTGATTATTAACTTTATTAGCTGGAATCAAATTACCACGAGTCTGAGGAGTAACCACACGAGGACGAAGTGATGGGTTAATATCATTTTGAGCTTTCGAAATATTATTATTAGCCTTTAAAAGTTCCTTAGACTTTGAGGTAGATAAAACTGGTGAAGGTTTTGGAGAGGACAATGGTGAAGGAGATTTTGAAGAAGTAGAAGACAAGGTAGGAGAATTTGGGTTTGAAACAGGAGTAGATTCCCCACGAATTCTTTGAATATTATTCATGACTGAATTAATAATTTTAGTAGGTTCATTGGAAGTAGCTTTCTTTTTTTCTTGTTCTTCTTCAATATAATTCCTCATGATTTCATTTTCTCTTTGTAATTCACGGTTACGAGCTTCAACTTCACGTACACGTTCTTGTAAAGCATCAACAATATCTTCAGCATCTAACAATTCAGCTTCTTTTTCACGTAACCAATCATCACGTTCTAATAAAATTCTTTTCAATTTTTTAACTTCTTCTCTTAATGCAATTTCAGGAGAAGCTGCACGTACATGAGATCTAGAATGAGCTGAATGACCATGTCCAGAAGTTGGTCTTTCAGGAGATGCAGCATGAGAACGTACATGAGCGGATTGTGTCGTGGTAGTAGGAGAAGTGGGACGACGTGATTTTGTTGAAACTGCACCATCACTTTTCTTTTTATCAGCTTTTGGACGAGCAGCTGATTGACCATTAGCATTTGGAGTTACTGGACGGAGTTGAGCAGTAGATGGTTTTTGTTTTAAGGATGGAGGAGGTGAAATTGATTGAGAATCATCCTTTAATTTTTTAGGAGATTTAGGTGGGGAAGAAGCTAAAACGGCTTGAACTGATTGTACGGACTGTTTATTTCTTTCAATGAAATTTTTTCGATTTCCATGTGGAGTTGAAGGTCTTGGAGATACCTAACAGAGGATTTTTTTTTTAATATAAATGAAAAAAAAAAGGTAAGAAAAATATGGTTCAATTTTTCTTTTTACCTTGTATAATTTTTTTTTTAAAGTATTACTGTATTATAACTATTTACCTTTTTTGTTTTAATTGTAATTGGGGTTGTCTCTTGTTCATTTGGAAACCAATGATCCTATAAAATAATAATAAAAAAAATTAGTTATATTATATGCATATGCAGAAATATGTGCAGATATATTCTTTGTTTTGATCTGACCAATCAAAGAAACGAGATAAGAAAAAAATTTTTTTTTTTTTTTTTTCCTTTCCCCAAACTTCTGACA